GACGGTCTCCTCAAAAACGAAGTATTTGTAAAATGATCCACTCAAAGGGATGAAAATGATGTGCCTCATAGTTTGTTGAAGCAGGTGAAAGAGTTGCAATGATAGATGTGATCGTAGCTCCACCCAAGCTGTCTTGTAATAGGCGCGTCAGTTTAGATTCTCTGAAAATAAAACTGATAGAAGAGATAAGGCAAACTTTTTCAAAGTCTCACCGGTACGGAACGTGCGGAGCTGATGTCGTCAGTGCTGTTATGACTCTTCCTAGCGTAAGCAGGGATTGATTGATATTGCCTATGAAAACATTTAACAGTGATTTACACAAACAAGTCAAGCAGCTTCGTGAGTCATCTACCTGCTTCTTTGGCTCGTTTCCCTTCCGCACCTGATCTTCCGATATGTTCTGATCCAGCGAGGTCCACTAGATTCAGTTTCCCCTGCAAAAGCCAAGATAAGAAGAAAATAGAAAGGGAAATGAACTTTTGAGCTTTGTGTGATATTTTACTGTCAATGATAATAACAAGACATGAAATGAGCAGTTTTTGAACAGTTTTTCAGCTCAAGATAAACCTTCAAAGTCACAAGGCTGAGAAACTCTGAGATAAGACAAAGGCAAGAATATACAGATAGAAAAGGGACAGGAAAATATATGTGTAAGATTAGGCTAAATCACATACTTGCTTGACAAGCTCCTCGCCACTAGCAGTATTCTCTCTGATCACGACACTAACGGTAAAGATAGAATGTGAGCGACTGAAATTGCCTCGACCCATAGAGAATGATAACATACCTAACGGAAGTATAACGAAACCAACCTTGAGTTCATATTCATAAGTGTAGCGGCAGTGGTTCTTTTCTCAGCCCCTCTTCTCAGGAGACGATAAACTTCGGAGCGATCTCTTACGGGAAGTTCTTCAGCACCCGATATAACGACAGCGCCCTGATTGAATATTCAAAAGCTCATTTCAAATTATAACCATGCAATTCACCTTTCTAGATGAATCATCAAAAATTCTCAGCCTCTCTCGGTCGTCTGATGTAGGAGCAAGAAGATCATATAGTTCCTCATTATACAGCTCCAGGTAACTAACGCGTACGCTATATTCTTCGGTATTCTAAAAAATTAGTGAATTTAATGCAGTTAATTCTACAATTAGGCCAGGGCGCAGCCAACTCAGAAACGGCCAATTTTCTCTCATTTGTAATCAACTCGCCGATTTCTCCAATTCTTCGAAGATATGCTCGACAGCACGTGGTATAATTCCCGTGGTTGGATCATCCTTGTATGAGCCATTTTCGCCAGATCCTCCTTCCATCGTGTACGTTTTCCCGGTGCCAGTCTGTCCATAACTGAACCCAAACTTGTCAACAAAACAAAAGCGTTAGGAAGAAAAATTGGAAGCTATATAAAATCTATGAACTCACGCAAACAATGTGCAATTATACCCAA